GTCCACGCCGTCCGCCATGATCCCACCCGCGCCTCGGGCCCCGCCGCCAGCCGCGCCCGGCTCTAGCGCTGCCGCCTCCGCGGGGAGAGAGGGGGGCGCGCCGTCACTTCCGGAAGACGATAGGCCGCTTCCGGCTGCTGAAATAACCACTGCTGCCCCGCCGCTGCAGCCCGAGCCCGCCCTCGGCCGCGGGGGCTTGTGGGAGGGCGGGGGTGGGGCGGCCTTGCGCGCACCGCCTGCCACCACCACCACGCGGGGGGCATGTCATCCTGAGAGCGCCCTCTCCGATCCGGGCAGGCCCCGCCCCCTCCCGAGCCCGCCGCGTCGCGCCCTGCCCCCTTGTCTCTCAGCCCCAGCGTTGCCCGAGGCGGGGGGGATTGTCGCGTATGTGGGGATTATTTCCATCCTTGTGCTGTTAATATTAAATAGTAAAAGGGTTGAAGCCCAGGGGATCCCCGCCGGCCTCTAATTGCTCTGCACAACATGGAGTTTCTTTTCTATTTGCGTCAGGTATCCAGGTTGTAGCGGTATTGCTCTAGAGGAAAAGGCAATCAGGACTCGGAGTAGAGGTGGTATCTTTTATTAGGCGAGTAAGATTTTTGCAAAAAAATTCTTTAAATGCAAGTTTTCGGGCACAAACTCCCTTCATCAGGCATTGGAGAAAAGATTGTAAAAGTTCTCCTGGGTAGAAATGAAAGTTCGTATTTCATAGGATTTCACGGAGGAGTCAATAGATGGAAACCTCCTCTGGACAGTCGGTTCATAGGTGGTTTGGAGCCTCTCACCTCCTGTGAGATCTGTGATGATGATGCAAATCACCTTGAAACAAAGGATCTCAGGTGGTCACAGTTGCTAGCTGCTTGGGAAAACATGAAGATTTAATTAAAAAAATTGGCTACCTGATACATGGAAGATACTGAATTTTAACCAATTTTTTTTTCATGTATGCAGCAAGAAATGATGAGGTTAAGTGTTGTGGTCAAATTCATTAAATAAATCTTCCAAAGAAGAGCTGTAATGCTTTGTTTCTTGAGTTGCTGTCCAGTGTATGGAATCGTTACATAATGTTAAGCTTAGCCCTCTTACTTGGTTCCCAAAGTTAACATTTCTAGAACCCAGAAATTAAGTAATGGCTAAAATATATTGAGTCCATTCTAAACAATACTGAAATTTCCTATTTACAAGAACTATCAGATCTACAACCTACTCCAAGAACTTGGTATTTCACTTAGAAAAAAAAAGTCAGATAAGGTGGTCTCGGTCTTCACATCTACCTTGGTCTTTATGGCCAAGGTCAGCTCCCAAACTAC